CTGAAAAAAAAAAGAATGTAGAACAGCATAAGGCACACCAATAATATACCATTATCACGTACACTATTAGAATCACACTGTCAAGTGTAATTCCAATGTAATATGAACAGCAAACACAGACATGCAGTATACAGCGTTGTCTGTAATTGCTGTACTGTTCGTCATGTCTTCTAGGCGTTGTACCACTCATCATGCATCACCAGCTATGCATCAGTGCAGTCATTTTATAAATCAAACTTTTTGGTTAAGCTTTCGAAAAATTGTAATCATGACCTTTTATATATATATAAACTTTGTATTTTAGCCATACGACAGTATCGAAATTTATATGAAAAACTGCAACAAACGTGACATTGGCTTTACTCTGGGCGCCGACTGCTATTGCATCTTCGAGGCACTCGCTATCGCACTGTAAATCAATATGCTCCCCTACGTAATTGTTCAATTGGTTCACGCTGGGGCTCATGATTATAATTAGAAGTAGCTCAGCACCCTTTGGGTGGGAAGTTTCTTTTGGTCGAGCTCTAACCAGTGTGCGGCGTGACCACCCTTCCTGCGCATGCACGCCCCTCCCCCTCTTCTCCCCTAGGCTTGCTCACTTCCCCTCTCTCTCCTCTAGGCATCTCTCCCAGCAGTGTTAACACCCCCCTATCACATGCACGTCCCTTCTTTCCTCGTTTGCCTCCAACGCCGACGCCGACAGCGTCTGCTAGCGGGTTTCTTTGTTGAGAACATTGTCTGCTCAAGCCATAAAACCGTTCTCTGTCCACTCCGTATATATAGGCACTCAATCTTGACGTCCAAAGTAGTGCTGATGGAAGAGTTTTTCTGTGCGCTATTGAACAATAAATATTCGCAGCGTGCCTGTTAACTAAAGGTGGACTGCAGGTCTCTGAGTCCAATTGGAGTATTTTCTTTCTCATTATCCGTTGGCAGTGACTGGCATGTTCCAGAGCAAACAACGGCTCAGCACTACGTGGTTTGCGCGTCCCCAGGTTTCTCTCCTGCGAAACGCCGTGATCGGTGCCAATATGAACGCCGCTGCCAGTGTAAGCGTTAGCACCTGCTGCTTCGCATCTACACATGAATCCCTTTAGCGGGAGATGATGTAACTTTTTTTCTCTTGAGCTAACCACTTTTATGGACCCACTAGTTACGCAATCCACATTAAATGATGCCTCGTGTAATAGTACACTTGCACCACGCAATATCTCGTCTGTTGACGTGCTCCTTGCCCTGCATGACGATTTCATACAGGCTCTTTTTCTAAAGCAGTCTCAAGCCCTACCGTGACTCGGGATATCATACACTACTGTACCCCTGAATACCTAGGTTTGCTAGTTTGATAATGGCTAGACTACTGGTTTTCATCTTTTGCATCTATAGGGATTTGTCGTTCGCCACCAGCACCGCCTACATCGACACAACGTCCGTATTTATCCGACACGTATCTTGAACACTCTCGCGAAATATTTTTTTAGACAGCGTCACAGCCACTCCAAGCTAGACTTCAACTGCTCAGATATTTTACATATTCCAAAAAAGCAAGAACATTGCGAGACTTCGAGCTTCTGTTCCTTAATTTTTCTGCTTATTAGAGGCATGAAAGGATTAGTAGCAAACTAAATAAGACATACAACTTAGAACGTGTGGTTTGCACAGATGGCGTAATTTCATGCACCACAAAGGAATCATAAGGGGGGAGGGGGGAATAGAAGGATGAAGGGAAGGCAGGAAGGCCAACCAGATGAGCGTCTGGTTTTCTATCCTGCGCTAAGTTTAAAGGATGAAAAGTTACAAGATATTCTTTAAAAGCTAATCAATATGGTAGAGGAGCATGTGGCTTTCTCTGAGACTGTGACCCTCTCTGAGGCTACAGCAACAGCAACACTTCCGACGAACTTATGGCTGCACCACTGATCGCACAATGAGAAATGCCAAATGTCACGCCAGAAGGCCAAACACTTCTCTATCGAATACGCTATACACTCATACCAACACCGAGCAACTAAAGAACATAACTCCTCTCACTAAACATACAAGCTGAGATCTCTGTCTCCAGTCCTTCAAAAACATGAACGACAGCAACAGGGTACAAGGTTAATTGATGAGAAGTACGAATAAGGGTGGTGGGGTGAAAGAATTATCACTGACGACAATGCCTTGTGAGTGCAGGAAACACGAGTAAAACATATTTAAAATTTCAAATCTTACGAGGACGCACTAAATAGAAAAAAAATACCATAGTGACGACAAACGCAAACTTCTGTTTTCGCAGCACTCGCAGTGTAATAATTTCTCACAACCTTGAAACAACACACCCAACAACATGTTTCGTTAAAGCATGACAGTGTCAGTGGGAACAGCAGTGGGTACACCAGTGGCTTCGACCATGCACGTGGTGCTGTGTACAGCTGACGCTCGCTTTTATACAAACTGACTTGCACTCGGCATGTCACAATTTTTCGGACTGGTTCTACACCGTACATGTCATTCTGCGCACGCTGTAGTGACGACGAACGACAGTAACGCGTGATAATATTCTTTGGTTTAACAGCCCAAAACGTCGATATGGATATGAGAGACACCGCTGTGGAGAGCTCCGAAGAATTAGACCACCTGTGGTTATTTACCAAGCACCTAAACCTAAGCACAGGGGTCTCAAACATTTTCGCCTCCATCAACAATTCAGCCGCCACCAGCGCCAGGATTCAAACTCGGGACTTTCGAGTTAACAGTCGAGTGCCATAACCACTAGAATACCGCAGCAGGGCAACTAGGAAGAAAATAACGAGGATATCTATCACCTCTTGCTCGACTGTCCGAAACACGACACACACAACGACGGCGACTCGAACAGGAAGTCGATACGCTATATTCCGAGCGAGCGTTTTGTTTGGATAAAATACTAGGCCCATGGTCATCTAAAATATATCGGAAAAGCAATGAAGGTTCTGCAAAGTTTTTTTTCAAAAACAAATATTTGTGACCACTACATACCGGACTAGCTTGAAAGTGAGCGTGGCGGCTACGCGTTTGTTCTGACCACATGAGGACTTTTGTACTCATCTATGTAAGGTTATATGTGTATATGTTATTGTGTTTCCTTTATATTTTTCTATGTGTAAACATAAAGTTGAAAGTAATAGAAGTCGCCAAATGACGCTGACAACTCCTTTGTTTATTTTTTAATTTATTTAAAAAAGAGGACGCACGGCTTCACTCGAGAAAGTGCGTGCATAGTATTTTTTATTACCAGAAGCAACAATTTCTTTTTAAAAAGTGGTTAACCGCAACTGAATCGAACAAACACTATATGATTTTCGGTCATGAGAGTGTTCGTATGTTCTGACAAATTACTTAATTAACAAAGAATAATCGTGCAAAAATTCTATTATTTTCGTATATGGTCAAGTGCCTTTTGTTGCGTTGCAGAAGGCATTCCAAAATGACCAATCCAATTTTTTGTAACAACGAAAATACTCCCATTTAAAACAGGACAATTCAGATAGCGAACGTACTTTTGTTTTCACCGTCTTCAGTTCGGGCCATATCGACGTAATTTCGACTCAAACGCGAAAATCAAAGTCAGCATTATCTTCGGAAATAAGACTCGTCGCGACATGACATGTTTATCTGAGGTGATTGTGCATAGCAGTTAATTTAATTGAAAAATCGATCCCGTGTTTGGTTCCATGAATACTTATTGTACGCGCTGCGTGGTATCATGTATTTTTTCAGCATTAAAAAAGCCCTAAACATTAAAGGAGGCCTGCAACACTTTTTAAGCATGGTCAGAAACCACTCCCGAACGGTAGTAGAGGCTCCCGACAACACGCGAGACAAGCAATATTGCTCAGCACGTGGCCTAGAATTCACAATAAATTGTCAAAGTCAGTTAAAAGTTGGTTTCTCTTTTCTCAAAAAGGAAAGCAAGTGCTCAAAAATCACGCGTAGCAAGCCCACCTATCAGCCATTGCCTGATTTGAACATGGCGCACTCGATCTTTACAGAGATCGCCGCGGGAGGCCGCGACTTGTGCGCGTGCGCGTGCGATAACACTGAAAAAGCCGCGCATTCGAAGAAAAAAAAAGTTTTTAATGACAGGAGGTGCAAAGGACATGATTTTTTTGCCCCTGCCGCCCCTCCCTGCTTAGCTTCCAGCGCTTTCATCAGGACGACAGAAGAGAGAATGCAATCGCAGCATGCAACAAATCTTTGTAACTCCACTTGCACAGAACGGCATCCTAAACGTTTTGCGGCGTTCAATGAGTAAGGGAATAAGCTCTTTCAGTGAATTTATTTCATGGTTACTTGAAAAAGGTGTTTCAGGGCCCCTCTGAAGAAAATCGTGCGACTGCACTCGCGCGCTACAGCATTGCAGTGCTCTAAGCATGGCATTCTGTCTGCAAAGTCTTTCCTATCATTCTGAAAAAAAAAAGAGGACCTTCCAACAATTTCTCCCCCACGTTGAAATTTTGGTCACAAGAATGAAACTTGACTACACATATTTCTAACCACGTAATGAAACCTATATTTACGCTGATGCAACAGCCCTTCCGCAAGTTTTTCAAATACAGAGATTATTCAAACTCAAGAAGCACAAAATTCGAAAAAAGGCGTCTCGGTTAAGCATTGTTTTCATTTTTTCTGGATGTTTTTGTTCTTTTGTTGAGTGTAAAAATGAAATTTTTATCAACACGTCATTACGGCACAAATTTGTCGGTACGCGAAGCGACGGACGTGGAGTCATACCCTTATCAACTCAAATTGTACTTTGTGTAAAGGCATGACAGACTATAACCGCTTCGCCTTCTAATCACGCGCGAATTCAGCTTCTGTGATTGGAAATCCAAGCCATGGCTCCACACTTATTGCGGCCCAACGACAACGTCACTGAGGCGCGTCATTGCCGCCACATAAAAAGTCTCAGAACTCGAAATATCAGAAATCAACTAGCGCAGCATTGCTTTGGTAACAAAATGAAGCTGAAGATGAAA